CCTAAATGGTGATGACCTCATCACCCTGCACCATCAATCTTTATTTTACTTTAATTTAAAAATTCCCATCCCTCCTCCAGCTTCTGAGGCTCCTTAGTGATCCCTTTTGCCCTAGTGAAGCCTTTGGGAACCTCTGGACAGGCTGAGCTATTAAAATTGAAAAATTACTACTGGATTGCCACTTGTAGTCCTAAGCTGGGGAGAGGGTTGCCAGTTACAATTTTCCCATTTTAAAGGCTCCCTCCCAGATCCAAAGCCCCAAAGGCTTTTAAATTAAATAGAAATAAATGTGAAATTAAGTTGAAATAAAAATTTTAAACTAAATTAAATTGAAATAAAGATTAAATGTGCTGGGAGATGACTTCATCACCACTTGCATAATGTCGTTGTGCCAACTAGATTTACCTAATATTTATTTGTGATCTGCAGTCCTAACCTACATACTGCTATATCTTTTACTGCTTGATTGTTTTGCCTCAGTTTGTTAGAAGAAAATAATATTTTCCTTAGCCTCTGCATTTCTGACCACATAGGTATCAATTCAACCTTCTGACAAAGTGAACTCTGGCCTACAAGACATTTGAGTCACAAAACTTTTTAATGTTTCTAATGCAGGAGACTGACATAGTAATTGTTCTACAGTTTATAAATAATAGGTTGCTAGGTTTCCAGACAACTGGAAAGAAGTTCTAGTTTCTTTACTCTTTGTTTATAATACAAAATCTAGAAAAAAACTAACTTTCATTTACAGTACACTATATAGGTGAATATGTGTAGGTATACATTACTTCAGAAATTGTAGGCCGAGATCTTGTTGCTTAGTACAGTAAACTGCATCTAGAACAGGCCCACTAATTAATGGAATCTACACAGGAGTTGACTCACCAAGTTCCATTGCTTCAATGGGCCTGCTCTACTTGTGATTTACTCTGCTAACCAACAGGATTTTAGGAACAGAATACTTTTAAATAATATCATTGGCAAATTTTATCATAATAAAAATAAATGTAAAAATAATTACAGTAATGGTAATTATGGTGTTCTATGTTTATTTATACTTACTGATTATATTTTCAAATAGAAGTCTAGAAGATGGCACATTATCATTATTCCTTTGCTAGAACAAATTCATCTGTGGCACTGCTAGGAGTCCCAATAGCAACTGTCAGCTTCCAATTGTGAATTTTAGTTACTATGAGATCACTAAGAAGCTATGCTAAGGGCAGATTCGGCTCCAGAGAAAACTGCAGTGCATACCAATCAGGTTACAGTTTGTACTTAAAAACTGCTTTGTTTTATTTTGGAATTCTACTTCCCTTTATACTCCTTTCTTCATTGTAATATCAAAGCTTTACTTCAACAATTGCCACTTAGTAGACAAATTGTTTCAGTAGTACAAAGAGGATTCTGTAGCTAAAAATACATTTGAAAGAGAAAGAGCTACACAATACCCCTTTAATTCTTGTCAATATATATTTCAGGAAGCACCAGAATTACAAAAATCCATCGCAACCACACCACAGACCTCATAAAACAAGAACAATGATTCAAGCAATGTCTAGGGGGATGGAAAATACCTTCAGTGATGTGTGAAGACCATCATTATGCATTCATTATTTATTATACATTCCAGCTTGTCCTATTAAAACAGGAGGCAACACTTAATTTTCAGTCAAACAACTCATTGTTTTATCCCATTAGATCACTACCAACTTAGAGAGACCCTATGAATTAGTGACCCGCAAAAGATCCTGTTATTACCAACCATGTTCAGGTCTTGCAAACTCAGGTTTGTGACTACAAGTTATTACAGCAGCAATACTACTCATACTACTCAAAAGGAAGCCCTATAACATTCAATACCAAATTCAATGTAAGTAACCAGTGGTCCATGGTGGGATGCAAGAATCCTATATGTGCTGCCTTAAATTTCATGATGTAGAAAAAATTCCCACAGAAATTTTGCTGGTGCCTGGCTTGTTATCTTTATTCTGATGCTGAACCAAGATTTGTTTTTATTCAGACACTGAAAACTCTGAAAGCATTTTATATATATCACTTCAGACCCTCAGTAGTAGTTTTAGCTCCTGATGATTTATTGTGTGATATTTTGTACTGTATTTTACTGTGCTGTCCTGGAATTTACTTGCTAGGTTTTTATCATGTGGATAAATGATTTTTTAAAAAATATATTTTTATTTATTTTAAAATACTCAGAAGTGGTTTACCAATCACTTTTGGTGGTAGCTCTCTTGAACCGTACAGTTTCTTCTCCAGGGCTACACAGAATGGTTCTTCTCCTGGGAAGCACCATAGTGAACTAAACACCCAAGCCCTGGCTCTACATGCTCCAGTTCACTGAGTTATCTAGCCAGCTAAGAGCAATATACATAGCTGGGAAACAACAGACATTATCAGCCCTATTTTCCCTTTAAACATAATGGCCCAAATCCTCTTGCATAACTTTTCAAATGGCATAACTTCTGAAGGCAAATTGCCCCAAGTTAAGAAACTACTGAAGATATTATAAGTTACATACTTAGACATACAAATCAGTGTGCAAATGATAATTTCTATAGTAATTTCTTCACTCAGGACAATTTGCTTCTGAAATGTACTCTGTTTGTGCTGCTAAAGTATAACTATGCAATAGGATTTAGGCCAATATATTTAAAAGTTCTGGAAGCCCTATTAAAATCTCCAGGATTGTTTTTAATAAGTTCTTTAAGTGATTACAATTCCTCAGTCTCAGCTATTTTACATTTTATGTAGACAAGTTGAGCATTTGCCTCTTTGGAAAGGGACAGTGGAACATGATTACTGGATCTGGGGTCAATTTGGGCAAGAAGATTGTGAAAAACATGTCTTGAGGAAAAAATTATTAAGCTTATAGCAAGCAAAATGCACTTTTTCATGTAAAAATTCACAATTAAATAGAGTGAAAGTAGTGATCTAAACTGATTTTATTAAAATCAAACCCATCCTGATAGTTATGATTTTTTCTTAGTTGCTATGATTTCTATTGTTTTATTACTGTTTTTAAACTGCTGTATAATGCTACAAAATAACTGTTATATGACATCTAATATATATCTGAGGGCTTTCTCAGTAGCTGCTCCCTGTTAGCATTGTATAATTTTAACTCTTTTCAGCTGCCTTCAGTCCCCTATGGGGAGAAAGGTGGCATACAAATAGTGTAAACAGATAAGATAAAATAAGTAAGAAAAGTAATGGAACATAAAGTGATAGTGGTATGGTGGGCAAACTAATGATCTGGGTTCATATGGATTCGTGTTCAGTTATGGGCACCCTGGAATGCTTTGTCTTATTATTACTTACTCTGCTTTCTATAAGTACAAAGCAAATAGTAATTTAATTATTGTGAGTTGTTGGATAAAAATTAGCTCTTTTTCAGTGTTGTTACGTAACTAAACAAGATACCACAAATACACTAAAGATTCTACACAAATAAATGGTGCCTTGTAAGTCAAATTTCTCTAAATACAGCCCATCAACATAATGAGTTTAAGTGACACAACACATTACAGTACTCTAATGACATGAGAGAACTCAGTCAAAATAATATAAATTAAAATTTATAAATTTAGTGAATCTGCCATATATGAAAGAGGGTCTGATTTTCAATTTACAAAGAAACCAAACATTCATATGAGAAAATAAGTTTAAATTAATGTATTAGATTATAATGTGCTCTATAAAAATTTAACATAAAGTAGTATTACTCCAGGTAATCCAGAGCTAAGAATAGTTCTGTTCATAATGAGCAACACATTGTATATATTTTGTTACTTATGTCAATACCAAATATGATTGTATATTAAGTCTATGGAACTACTGTATATGGAAAACACAACAATAAAGAGTAAAGGCTGCCAAGGTTCCCAACCCTTCAAAAATATGTTTCCTTTTAAAGAATGAAATCTGCAACCAAATTTTTCCAGCCAGCTAAACCCTTCAAAGATTCATACATATCAGCACTTTAAAAAAATCTCAGTACTAGTTCATGAGCCATCTGTTATTAAATTTAAAAAAATGAAAAATTATAGTAAAACTTTAACATTGATTCAATATGCATAAGAGAGTTAAAATGTGTTGTGTCCCATATCTCCAATGCTATAAACTTTTAAGGCTTATATTACTCTTCCTCACACTGTGCACTGCAGACCTTACAGGGAGGGAGTAAAATTTCTAATAAACATATCTGTTTTTGCATCGGTACATGGATATCTTACCACAGTTCTATCTGTGACGATTACATTATTTTACAGGAAAGCAAACAAAAATACTAGCCGCCACTTTAAAAAAGGAGAAGGTCAAGAATAGGTGGACAGAAGAAGGCTGTTAATCAGCAGAAAGAGAACAGTGTGGACCTGATCCTGCTCTTCCTCCTCTCCAGTAAAAACAATGCCTCTGGATCCCTACGCGACAGCCAGATGCAACATCTCCTGGTACCCCAGGAGCCGGCAGGTGAAGAGAGCCTGCGGGGGATGGGGCGTTGTTGTCAAAACAAAGCTACTTCCACCCTCGGGGGGAGCCACTCTTAACAGGAGCTCTTCGCCCCCCTTTGGCAGGGACGAAAAGCCTCCACTGCGCCCGAAAAAAATAAGTCGCTCCCAGGAAGAGGCGCCCTTCCCTCGCCCTGCTCTTCTGACCGGGTCGCCCCCTCGGCGCCCGCCTGCCAGACCCAAGAAGCCTCCTCCGGGCAGGGAGTGGGGTGCCTCTTACCCGAGAGGCGGACCCAGGAGTCCCCCCCCCCCCCCGTCTGAAGAAATTATGGGCTTGGTGGCCCTCAAGAGCCACCGCTAGCTCCCTCCTCCTGCTCGCCTCAGGGCATCACAAACCGCCGCCGCACCAGCGGCGCGAGACCAGCCTTCAGCCTCAACCGCCGCCGCTGCCGCCGCCCGTGTCACCCTCAAGTAGGTGCCGGAGCGGAGGGCAGGGAGGCAGCGAGGGGCGAGCGTGGGCTGAGGGGGACTCACCGGAGAGCTCGTCCGGCTCCAGCCCAGTCTCGGTGTCCAGCCCACAGACCACGAAGTAGTCGGCGAAGCGGCCAGGAGCCGACGAAGAAGAGGCGATGCTGCTGCCGCCGCCGCCACCGCCACCGCCGCCGTCCCCACTCATGCTGGACGAGTCCCGGCTTAGCCGGACAGCTCAGCTCGCCCGGAGAGAAGGGAAGAAGACTTGGGGCGCCGCCACTGGCGAGGCTTCTTCTGTTTCTCCAGCTGTGGCGGATGCAACAGTTTCAACGACCTCCACGGCCGCGGCTGCGGTTGCCTCCATGACCGAGCGGCCAGAGCCGCAAGGGGTTGTGGGTAGCGGGCCCGACAGACGGAGGGACAAACGAACATAACAGGACGCTCTCCGCCTGCTTTCCCTCCCACCCTCCGCTTCCTCGCGCCGCTTCCTTGCCCAGATGTTTCCAAGTCGGGATGTGGGAGGGGGGGAGGCGGCGAATGGCGGCGAGAACCGCAATGCTGCACATGCGCAGTGGGCAAAAAGGATGACGTGATCCTCTTTTGCGGTGCCGCTGGGGAGGGGAGGGGAGGCGCAGCTGAGGTGAACCCTGTTCCTTTCACCCTGGGCTCCTCTTTTCTCCGAAGAACAGTCGGAATGACTCCGACAGGTCTCGTCCCGGAAAGTCATTTCTGCCTCAGAGCGTCCCCCCTAAGCCGCCCTCGTGCTTGGATTGCTTTTACTGCCCAAAGTACCTATTAAACTGCCGGCTCCTTCTTGGTACCTCTTGGCTGCTCGTAGAGACTCTCTTCCCACGTTCCTCTCTTTTGTTTCGTGCCCTGGACCCTCTCAAAGAACCATGAATGTTTTTCTTCTGTCGTTTCTTTTCAATACCAGTATCCGACCACCATCCCTCCATCGTGCACCTTTCTCTTTTTCCCGAGCGCCTGGCTGACTGAACTACCCCCCCCCCATGACTTGAGCTAATAATGTTTTTAGAAATGCTGTATCAGTCGGTGCAAGCGCTAGTTGCCCATCTCAACCAGGCCACGGTCCAGGTTTCCAGGCGAGGAGTCTCCTGGAGCAAAAGGATCTGCATGAGCCCAACTCCTTGCCATCATTACTGCCGCTAACAGTCTACCGTGGCATGCCTGGGCTGGCCATTCCCAAATCCGCGCTGTCTCGGAGAAGGAAAGGGAGCAACAGCAAAAAATAAAAGCAACAGATCTAAGCGAGGCTGGGAGTCAACAGAGGTGTATACCCAGCAGTCGTGGTTCCCGAGACAGTGACGCAACTCCCGCGCTTTATTTATTTATTTATTTATTTATTTATTTATTTATTTATTTATTTATTTATTTATTTATTTATTTATTTATTAACCTCTAGTCATTATTGTCTAATTACTGTTCTGGGTGATTTACAATAATAAACAAAATAAAACAAGATGACACTAAAACTATTTAAAACTAGTATAACAACTAACCAATAAAACCAATGTCTCTAAAGCAACAGGAAAAAAAGTGGTGGACAAAAGGTGGTCAGCGTGGATCGCCTCTCTGAAAAAACACATCTTTGAACCCTTGAACCACAGAGCTGGAAGGAACCCTATGGATCATTGAGTCCAGCCCCTCTCAACAAGGCACAGTGGAAAAATTAAATAAATAAATAAAATAAAATTAATAAATTAAATACATAAATAAAACTGAACTCCCAATCTCTGGCTCCGCAGCCAGAGATCTAAGCCACTGAGCTATCAAGTGTCCTAAATGTCTACAGGGAGGGGGCCAGGAGAAGCTCCCCCAAAAGCTAATTTCATAAGGTTGGGGGCACCATGAAGGCGGCCCAACTTCTAGTACTGTAGATTACTTACAGGCCTCCCATGGAGTGGCTACCCAAAGGAGCTTCACCCATGATGATCTATGTCAGCGTTTCTTAGCGCAAATCGCGGTTTTAGCAGAGTGATTCGCAGTCCAGGCAGTCCAGAAATAACTCACGCACAGTCCAGCAGCATTTCCTTCAGCAACGTGTATTTACAGCAGTATTTACAGCATTCTGGCAGCATAACGTGTAGAAATGATCTTCAAGCAGGAAGATACAATTGACTGTACAACTAACACATATATACATATACAGGACCAATTAGATCACACATTGCATCATACCAAGATGGCGCCGGTGCCGGGCAGTTAGCGTTTTCTCCACCGCTCCAGCTGCCTCTTGGTTTTCTTTCTTCTTTCTTCTTTCTTTTTCCTTTTTTTCCTTTTCTTCCCGCTCCCCCTTTTCTCCTCCCCTTTCCCTTGCTCGCCTGGTGTCCATCTTACCGGGTCGAGATGTGGAGAGTTGGGCTGTGCTGGACAGGACCTCGGTACGTGGAGCCGCTGCAGACCCAACTCGCGGAGTTGCCGCTGGCCCGAAGCATGGAGCCGCAGAGCTCACAGCTGGCTTATCGCTGGAGTCCGGGAGTTGGTAGCTGGAGCCCTGTTTTGCTACTTGCGGGGGTTGATGAGTGCTTGGGAGCTGGAGGGAAGTGGGAGTTGAAGGGGAGTGGGATCCAGCTGGATGAACCAGCTGACCCTCAAGGAGACCATCGGAGGGAAAGGACTTGGAGCCTGGAGACCCGTGCCCCTCCCCAGGACCTGGGCTTCAGAGGCTCGTGCCCCCCCAGGACCCTGCTGGACTCTGGAGGAGTTTATCGGCATGGAAAGGACCCAGAGGGAGGTCCATCGGAGGGGAAGGAGCCTAGAGGCTGGTGGTTCACATCCCCTCCTCCCCCCGGGATCTGGACGAGTCCATCGGAGGGAAAGGATCGGAGATTGGAGGTTAGCGCTCCCTTCCCCCAGATCCTAGCCTGCTAGAATGCCTGAAACTGAAGCCTGCAGCCGGGGCAGCTGGACTTTGTGTGCCTGGTTGTGGAGAAGATCCTTAACTTTTCGCCTTGCTGGAGCGCAGGGCTACGGGGGGAATTGTGGGTGACTGTGAGCGACACTGAGAGCGAGTTGTTTGTCCCATTCCCTGGCTGGCTGGTCGCCATGTTGGATCTCCAGGGGACGGGACCTTCCTTAGAACTGGTTTGCTCACTCCCCCTCTTTCGGACCACCTGCAGAGATGCTCTGCCCCTGCACATGGGGCGGGTAGGGCCAGTGACTGAAACAACTTGGCTCACCCTTGTGCTCAGGACTAAGATCTCTGAGTTAACCTCCACCAGTAACACTCTTACTCCACCTCTAACATCAGTTCTCACAACATCTAAAACAACATTGAAACTGACATCATTGAATGGACAAGGTTCTGTGGTGGAGAAGGCAGGACCAGGACTATATGTGGGGCTTTAGCACGTTATATGTTAAAATTTTATTTTAATTTCATACACATGGTGTTTATAATTTGGGATTTGTATTGTTTTTAGTATTTATTTATTTATTTATTTATTTATTTATTTATTTATTTATTTATTTATTTATTTATTTATTCATTTATTCATTTATTTATTCATT